ATCGCTCACGCAATGTTTCCCAACAACAATTTTTGGAAATATATTGGCGGTTTCACGAGCAACAAAAACAACAACAACATGGTAGATATCGACGTTGTCAGCCAGTTACTCAGATAGGTTGACATTAAAGACCAAAGAAAAGCCTGCAGGCTCAAATGACAGTCGATGTTAGCTTTAAACAGTAGCACAGTCTTAAAGAAAATGAAATCCAGAGTAAAGTCATATATTGCTCTCATTAAATACTGTTCTAATTGCAGCTCATCAAAAATTATAGTGGCAAAGGTGGATCAGACGGAAAGTACCAACGTTTTGCAATTCGCCTGGTCGGATGGTCTACGACGGGCAAGTGCCATCAAATGTTTTACAGGAACTAACTCAGAACGCAGGGGAATATGTCCTAATGCTAAAACATGGCAGACTTTATGAGAAAGCTCCAGCACCAACACCATAAGTAAATCTCTCTGGAAAAAACATTTTAAATAGCTTAAGCTAAGAACGGCTGCCTTAGGTGCCACAACCGGCAGCCAATGGGTCTCCATTCGTCTAGAACTCGGTTTGTCTCAGAGCGATGATTCTCTCTGAGAGCGTTCATCAACAATGCGATATAGAGAAACGTAACCATCACAGAAACTATTGATTTTCTAAAAGGTCGGAAGACTTTAAGAAGAGGATCGACACATTACAGTGGAGAGAAAAAATAGCTATCTTCCATACAACATTGCCATCGACGCGTGATATGTGAGAAAGGTAGCGTAAGTTGTAGTGGAAAACGAGACACATTTGCAGCTAGAAAAGGTAAGAAGCCGCAAGGCATGAGAGCTTAAAAATCTAGCTGAGCTCAGGTTTTTCAGATCACACATTTTATGTTAAATTCTCTTTCCTTACTATCATTCTAATCTGGTCACCCTGCAGGTGCTACTATATATTTGGCGCTCTCACACAATTTACGAATATTTAATATATTTAATACCAGTTGACAGGGTGTTTACGGCTTTGCCTATCTCATACAAGACTAATTACACTGCAATTGGGATTTGAAAATAATAAAAGGTATTCACACATACATATACGTGGTGTGTTCAAAAAGTATCGCGAATTTTGAATTTTCGCGGGTTACGTATAATCGATTTTCGATCTTTTTGTGGCGTTATGTTGGCCCGAACACGCCCGAGCACAGACGAAAAAATTAATTGCAGGGGCGTGGTGCATCATGAGTTCTTGCCACAGGGTAGAACGGTCAACAAGGAATATTACCGGCAAGTTATGCGCACTAATAATACCGCAGCCACCGTATTCCCCAAATCTGGCCCCCTGTGACTTTTTCTTGTTCCCTAAACTGAAGATCAAAGGACGACGTTACGCTACGATTGACGAGATAAAGACGGCATTGAAGGAGGAGCTGAACAAGATAAAATAAAATGATTTTTTGAAGTGCTTCGAAGATTGGAAAAACTGTTGGCACAAGTGTATAATATCTCATGGGGATTACTTTGAAGGGGACAAAATAGATATTCATGAATAAATAAATAATTTTTGAAAAAAAAACACAAAATTTGCGATATTTTTTGAACACACCTCGTATATAGAAATTTTTGCGCCATTTATATGGTTAATGTCAAGAGTGCATTGGCCTGATTGAGACAGACGAGCACATGAAGGAGCCGATGTTAGTATGTATGACTGTATGAATGTATTTATGAAATAATTACTTAATAAGTGTAATAATAATGGAAAGTATTTGCAATTGCAATTAAATATTAATCATAATGACTAATAATATTTGGCATTTAATGGAAATATATTTTTTTTTGTTTTTTTTTTTCTTGTTTTTAATTAACCTTGTTTTTGTATACTCGTACAGTCAACCTTGCCACATAAGTTTAACCATTACACAGTTATAATTAGTGCTGCGAGAAATCAGTCATGCAGGACCACAAACATTTTATTATTGACGGCTCTTTAACGCTGCACTTGCTTATATGTTATATATACATACATACATATAAAGGGTTTTCCAATAAGAGATGTCATTTTGATTAGCCTGCTATTCCGGTAGATGTCGCTTTTGAAGCTGTAATTTTTTGACATTTGACAAGTAAAAACTATGCCAATAATAAAAATGGAAGGATAGACGCTTCAAGAATGCCTTGAAATTATTAAAATTCACTGCAAGAGTGGTGAACACCTAGCAGAGACGGTTCGTAAAACTAAAACATTTTTCGGTCGTCGAATCGCAATACAGAAATTGATGAAAGAAGTGGAGTTGTTGGGACAAGTTAGTCATGTGAAATTAAACGTCGCTTAAAAACAACTGAGAAATTTGCTGCCCAGGTTTATCCATTTCTCATCGCTCTTTGGAATCGGGCATTCCACAAACGTAATTTCACCATATTTTGCATCACAAATTGGGTCTCAAGGCTTATAAAGTTTAGATAATATAATAACTCAAGCCGGCCGATTATCAAAAACGTCATGACTTTGCTGTTTGGGTTCTTGAAGTGCATGAAAATGATCCGGAATGTCCTCGAAAAATCATCTTGACTGATATCCACTTTATTGGCTACGTCAATAAACATAACTGTCGCATTTTCTACGCGGAAAAGCCAAGATTTATTATTGAAAAGCTACTCTATCCTCAACTTGTAACTGTTTGGTGTGGTTCATTGTACGGCGGGGTCATTGGACTTCTTTTTTCGAAGATGAGGTTAGAGCAACAGTAACGGTGCACGGATTGCGCTATCGAGAGATGATTAAAGCTTTTTTATGGACGGAGTCGGATGGTATTGATGTGGATAACGTTTACTTTCAACAATACGGCGCCAAGTGCCGCACAAGCCACACGGCAACATGGATCTCTTAAGGTAAAATTTTGCGGATCTTATTATCTCTCGAAGTGGTGACCGCAATTAGCTACCGAGATCTTGTGATTTAACACCTTGCGAGCTCTTTCTTTGTGCCCACTTGAAAAATAAGGTCTACGCCAACAGACCAACGACGATTCAAGACCGCAAAGATAGAATTCGTCAAGCTGTTGAGGGCGTCCAGCAGACACTTAGCGATTTGGTGATGAAAAATTTCATAAAAAGGAAATGAAAGGAAAGGAGTAAGCGAAGCCGTGGCGGCCACTTGGTTGATATTATTTTGAATTATTAATGGCAAATCTTCTTCTGTGTATTGAAACAAACTTCCGATATTTTATCTCAAAAAATGCCGATTGGATAACCCTGTACATATGAACTTATTTGCTAATATTCATACGACAAAGTTGTGGTGCTGCAGAAAAAACCTATCGTAGACAGATAGGTAGACAGGCAGGCAGGCAGACAGACAGACCGGCAGGCAGACAGACAGACAGACAGACAAGCAAACGGACTTAGTTTGATCTTGAATTGGTGCGGTTATTAACATTAAACGCTTGTGAAAATCGGAAAACAATATGAATTATGACGAACAGGAAGTTCATTTTACTATAAAGCTAATATAAAGCCTTGCTTTGTGGTGGTAATTTATATATATGTTTGTATGTATGTGGTCTCTATAGTTGTTATATAAAACTAAAATGGATAACAAGTTAATTGAGCGCAAAAAACATGTTGATCGCATACTTAAAGGCGACAGAAAATGGACTTTCATAATCTTGTTGACATTTCCACATAAAAACGTGGGAATTTTAGTGGATTATAAATAGTTTCGGTTGGCTGATGGCGAGAGGAGTGGCTAACTTGATAGGAATAATGACAATGAACAAATAGGTTTAAGGTGCAAGTTAGCTTGTTTTCTAACATAAATTGGCATGAACACTACTTTTTGTTTGGGGCAATGAATCGGAGACTGACGTCTTTCAACGTATATTTTTTTAATAATACGATTTGCAGCGCTGAAAAGAAATGTGGAGAGCGAGCTGATTTCATTCCCCCTGCGGGTTAGGGGTTTAAGAATTTGCCCGTGGTAAGGCATGTCTGTCGTAAGAGGCGACTAAAATCCAATAGCTCCGCCGACACTCAGATCTTTATACCGCAACGATCCGAGTTTTTATCCGGTCAAGGACTGTCACCCCAGCAACATTCCCCAAAAAGTACTTTGGGGAATATTTTTGCGGTTACGACAACAACAACAACAACAACAACAACCTGATTTCACTTGGTATTTCCAACAAAACCTACGCCATTGAGGAAGTATAAATAGAATAGTACTTTTGTTTCGAAATGGACCAAAGACGTAAGACCAAATTCGATTTGCTCGAAACATAAATAATGCTTTCTTTGCGGGAAAACGATCAACGAAATATTGACAAAAATCAGTATGATTTGGATATTAGCATCGGTGGTGTGTAGGTATATAGCGAAAAATCGACGCATACATACAAATACGCAGCTAGAACACTAGCCGTGTTCGGTGAGTGATGTAAGTAAGAATTAGAGAGTAACGAAATTTCAAAATTGCGCTCTTTCGATAAAAAAATTTTACTGGCTTTTTGCTCACCGAAATCGGTTCAGAAAATGACTCACCAAAAATGAAATGAGATTCAAAAAGTAAACTTTTGATTTTAATTTTAATACTCAACACTGATTCCGTATACACGGTACAAGCGTTTTGATCATTTGTTTTCAAAAAATAAGTATGCGTGCAAAAAGTGAGGTTATCCAATTGGATTCCACCGAACTCTGGTCGGAAAATAGCTCACAAAAAATGAGATGAGACCCGAAAAGTAAATATTTCATTTTATTTTAATACTCAACACTGATTCCATATACAAAAGTGAGGTTATCCAATTGGATTTCGGGTATGTATTTTTGCATTTCGTAAGTCTCTATGAAAATAAAGCTACGTTTCCTTTACGGAACATAAAAATAATGCACTCAAATCATACAACTTGAAGGTGACGGCATAATTTTCATCTAACGAAATTCAATCTAAACTTCAAGATTGCTTAACACGGACCTTATATTATGGTAGACTTTCCTTACGTTAAAAAAAAAAAAAGATGAAGCTACACTTACCTCAATAGAATGGTCAATTGCAAATCATGGCCTAACCGTTCCAAAGCCGGTACGCCTTCAACACGCAAAATATTAATTTTCTCACGTAGAGAGCGTGAAACTGTATTCTGACCATGTCTTTCACGTAGTATTTCCAAAATATTTGGTTGGCGCAAGAAGGCAATAACCTAAAAATATATAAAAAAAAATTGATTTTTTTTTTTTGTTAAATATCGGACTTTTTTTTTTACTTTTCACCTTTTCATTATAGGCCACAGGCACCTCATTGTATTGCTCGTAATTACCAACAGCGCTACCTGAGGCGCCACGCAATGTACCATTCTGACCGGTGCGTATAGTACTCGGCGGCCTTGGCGGTGGCAATGGCGGTACACCAGAAGAGGAAATGCAATTGCCATCGAAAACATCATATTGAAAGTTATTTTGATGCTGCTGTAGTTGTTGTTGTTGTTGTTGTTGTTGTATTTGATCCTGTTGCGCATGTTGTGCAGTTGGATAATGTGTTGAAAGTTGTGGTGATTGATGAGCGTAAAGTTGATGTCGTTGACGTACGATACGTGCACTTTCGATAGGCAAGCGTGGATCCATGAATGATGTTTTACGATTACTGTGATCAATGAAAAATTGTTTACCCGAGTGATCGAGTTTCGTTTCCCAGCAGGAGGGTAAATCTCGATTAAGCTGTGCGAATGTATTCACTAAAGCCACCAAATCCTTATTATATTGATAACGTTGAAAACATTGCGGATCGCGTCGTATACGTATTATCATATGTTTTAATGCCGGATTGCGATTATATATCGATAATGCATCCTCATTTGTGTGCAACATGGAGTAGAAGTCGGGGCGACAGAGCATTACAACTGCCGGGTGCACAGAGAGGCTGAAAGTTTGTAGATTGCCTAAATTATTGGTACTATTATTACTATTATTAGTATTGTTATTAGTATTATTATTATTATTATTATTATTAATATTATTTGCAGTATTTTGATTGTTGTGTATTGAAGTTGCAAATTGATTGGCAGTGTTATTGCATCCAGAATTATCGTTGGCATTATAAGCGGAAGCAATCGAAAGGCGATTTTCGCTTGTGATCGTGCGTCGAATAGACTGATAGCGTCGGTCCAATTGTTGACGATGATGGTGCTCACGACCTGGATGAGAAAAATTTAGAGAAATAAAATTTTATTACTTTGTGATCTATTTTTCGATTACAAATTGAGAAAAATAAGAGTTTTTGGCTTAACAGAAAAGTATTTTGCCAAACACGGCATGCCTTACCCGCACCATTTAGAGTTGTGCCGCCATTCGTACCGGGGCGTTGCCATGAGGTTGTACGCGTCGTATGATCAATATAGAAAATACGTCCATGACTATCCATACGCGCTTCCCATGCGGGTGGTAGCGGTTCTGTAGCGGTTTCTCCCTCAAACATGGGATTACGTCGTAGAAAACCTGCAGCACCACGTTCTGGTATCGATGGCAAACGCGTGCTGCATGCTTCATTTGTTACTTCATTTCCTTCTCCCAAACTGGTGTCAGTTACATGGTGTTCACCTGGCGCAACAGCTCCTTGGATGCCTGCTGCAGCGCTGAATGTGATGGGTGGTGACTTTGGTATTATAGCTAAATTATATTCCCCTTGATTAGCTGATGCGAGTCCTGTAGCACCTGCAAAGGAATTATCAGTTTGTGCTGCAAATGCCGATGAGTTGGATTGTAAACGTTGATGACGTCGTGCATGATGCGTGGGTGTTGGTGGACAAACAAGATTTGCGCCTTATAAATTAAAAGAGATATAAAGTATTAAAAACAAACGATGATACTTCAATTAGCTCGAAAACTTACCGACACCACCACCAACTCGTTTTAATAGACGCTGTTGTGGGCGTATATGCGCAGCTGGTGAGGATGGCACACCCGCGTTACCCAATCCAGAGCCAAATTTAAACTGTGCCTGTGGTGTTGGGGGTGAACTAGTTTCGGGACTTAAATTCACGTCTAAGGGTGATGCACTACGCGTCGAGCAACCGGATGGTGGGCTACGTTGGCGTTTTGGCGAAAGCAATGAGCGTGGCGAATGCATACTAGCACCAGCCAAATCATCGTAATTAATGACATTACAATGTGCCGCACCCTTTCCATTTGACATGGCACGAGTGAGTGGCCTGTGCTGGCGTATATGTGGAAAGTGATTTACGGGCGAGGCATTACCTAAACTGGAGCTACCATTATCTTTTACGGGAAATGTAGGAAATTCATAAGTTTCTGTTGCAGGCACCTTCTTTGTTGTAATCGTATTTATGTAGCTATCAGGCCCAATTTTTTTCTTAATTAGCGGCTTAAATTTAACAGGAGTTTGGTGTATTGTACCTGAAGGCAGATCATATTGTGGACTTGTAGAAGTAGGGGTGCCATTGTTTAAGAGTAATAATGGCGAATTATTTGTACTGCTCGTTGCGCTACTATAGCCATCGGTGGAACCACCGCCCATGCCAACGAAGCCTTCATCGGTGTCTAATATATCAAATTTAAAAACATCGCTTTGTAAATTCACATCTTTTCCAACAGCTCTAGGTGGCCACGAACGTTCCAATGGTCGATGTTGTGGTTGGCGTAAATGTTTTTGCCTACGTTGCACACCCTTAACATTAGTGTTGGGTTGGAAAGCAGCAGCTGCACCGAGTAAGCTTTCGACTGCCGCTTCCTCATCATCCACCGTTACAATATCATTTTCTACCTCATAAACCATTTCAGCTGGTACACTTTCAAAACATTCTCGCGCAACCCATAAATTTAGATTTTCTGCAGCAGTAACTTTTGTTAACGGTGCAGTTGGTGATTTTTGACTTGCAGGTTTAATTTTTTTCTTGGCTCCACTTTGTGGTGTATAATCGTTGTTTTGTGGTGAAAGACTCCAGGACTTACGGCGTGCACCACCACTCACGCTACTGCTGTCGCTGTGTGAATTTGTTGGCGAAAGTGTAGTAGTTGCAGGAGTTTCACATGACTTAGTTGTAAGCAAAGTTTGTTGGCGTTGTTTTTGTTGTAGATCATCAGGCATAATTGTTTGATTTATTTTATTAAAATCTTTTAAATCTGGAATGAAATTAAATAGAAATTTATATTCAAAAATACATGTGAATACAAAACGGCATACTTTTATTACGTTTCGATCGTGATTCACTACTTTCTTCCGCAAAGAGCGTATCTTTAATTTCCATATATTCTTTCCGTTGATCACCTAACAAAATGCAACTGGTGTCAACGACAACAGCTTCGGGAATCTCGTTCGATGTATCAGCAAACAAAGAAGAAGTGGTTTCAGTGTCAATAACATCTGTCACCTGTAGTAAACAACATGCACCCTCGATCTCTTCTGCTTCTTCCTCCTCATCCGCTGCACTCGACGTTTTGTTTACAGACGTGACGTCATTCGTTATTTTAAGAGTGTCTAAGCAAAGATCCGGTTCACTGACTGCCTCATAAAACGTGTTACTCTCTTCTTCATCGCCCCCATCGTCGTCATCTCCTACCCCACGACCGTTACTACGACCTTTGGCGTTGTTATCACCCTCCCCGTTCACTTTGTAGCCCATATCTTTAGCCAGCATATGCAAGTTGCCTTGAGTTGTTATTATATTATTTGCTTGTCACGCCGGTATTGCATTTAAGCGTGGAGCTTATATATTATTGCTTCATAAGCTCCAAAGGCACGTTTTTGTGCCATTTGTTTTGCTCACAGTATTCTTCTCACGCTCGTCAGCTGGTACTCTACTCAGTCTTGTTTATTTGTTCTCTTCACACTCTTTCTGTTCCGCACATATTCTGCATCTTTGCCCCTTTCACCCTTGCTCTACTTTCACGGGCCAAGAATATAAATTTATAGATTTTTCTAGTTGAGCTAATTCAATTAAACTTTTTTAAGGTTTTGATTATTCACTCAGATCTTAAGTATTTTTATAAATATTTGTTAAGCCTGCCTAATATTTATGTTTACAGTGTAAATCCAATAATTTTCACTTATTTATCACACTTTCTACAACTACTTCCGCAAAAAATTTTCTTAACCATTTGCAACGCCTTTTCATCATTTTTCTAACTGCAAGCGCTTATTTTCCAAATCTTCGATACTTCAGACTTGCAAAGGCTTTTGAAAAACTATAATATACTATGTTTTTTTATTTATTATTACTTTTCCGCAGTATTTTTATGTTTTTCCCGCAAGCAAAGTAGAAACTTTCTTTATACCATTAATTTAGTTAGGTTGTCAATTAGCACCATTTAAACATTTGTTAAAACAAAGGGTGCACAATACTTTTATTTTTGAGAAAAGCGTTTAACACTATCAAACATATAATTTTGAAAAATGTACATAAAATTAAAGGTTTTTTTTGTCAATATCAGTTATAAGAAGGAAAAATACAGAATATATTTGCATTCATACTATAACTATTAAATATTTAAAAATTATCATACATACAATATATTGTATGTACGCCATATTTTATCCCTTTTCTAATTATTCACTTTTTTTGTCAACGAAACAACATTGTTTCGCCACGATTCTTGACGTTTCTTGGTTCACGCCAATTTGTTGTATTTCCATCAAGGGTCTTCTTATTTTTGTATTGGATTTTTATAAAAAGTAATCCTAAAATTCGCAAATATGTCCGAGGCAACCGGTGAGCTTTCGAAAAAGTAAGTTTTATTATCTATCCTTTTTCCAAGTGACTTGAGAAAAATATTGTTTCTCTGGCTCCGAATTGACTTACCGAATGTTTGGTTATGTCGAAACACATGCATATTTCCAATTCGAAATAAATGGGTGAATAAGTGGAATCATGTGAAAATATAAATTTAAAATATATATAATACAGTTTTGCATTTACAAGGTGGTGTTTATTGTAATAAAAAGGTTATCGGTAAATAGAGTTCAGTAATATTCAAAAGATATACATTCGAAAAATGTACAAATTTGTTGGTAAATGTACAATACCAAGTAGTTTACTAAAATTGCGTCAGTTGTCCGCAACATTACGACAGATTGACTTCAATTCACCCCAGAAACAAGTTAAAGTCGAATTTCAAAATCTAATTTCACGAAGTTTGTATAACACAAACTGTCTTGAATCTCCAAGTAAACGTACAAAACTGTAAGGAACAAATTTTATTTATTTTATATATATGTATTATGTATAAACGCAAGAATCTAAATATGCTAGTATATGTGTTCGGTCTTTTTCAGAGTTATTTCATTATAAAATGTTTATTTTGTATTTTAGTGAACTGAAAAGGCGTCTGAAAGCCGAACAAAAAGCCAAGGAAAAAGCGGAAAAGGAGGCGCAAAAGGCCGCTGCTGCCGTAGCAAATGCTGACAACAATGTTCCTAAAAAGAAGTCAGCGGCAGTGTCAGAAGAAGAAATTTCACCAAATGAGTATTTCAAACTACGTTCGGCTGCTGTTGCCGAATTAAAAAAATCCCCAGAAACTGATCCATACCCTCATAAGTTTAACGTTAGCATTTCATTGGAAGATTTCATCAAAAAATATGAAACCCTAAAAGATGGTGAAATGCTTCAAGATGTTTCACTGAGGTAAGCCACACTTATTCAAGTACATAATACCAATTTCATATTGAAATATGGTTCTAAATAACTTTAATGCAGTGTTGCTGGTCGTGTACATGCGATACGAGAATCTGGCGTAAAACTAGTATTCTATGATTTGCGTGGAGAGGGTGTTAAATTGCAAGTGATGGCCAATGCAAAATTGTATCACAATGAAAGTGCTTTTGAACCTGATACTTCCAAATTACGACGTGGTGATATTATTGGTATTAACGGTTATCCTGGTAAGACTAAAAAGGGCGAGCTCTCTGTAGTGCCAAAAGAGGTAAGTTTTTGTAAAACAAAAAAAAAAAAAAGATTTATAGCAAACTTGACTTTTTTATATATTCTAGATAAAACTACTGTCACCATGTTTGCACATGTTGCCCCATTTGCACTACGGCCTCAAAGATAAAGAGACACGTTATCGACAAAGATATTTGGATTTGATCCTGAATCCAAAAGTACGGGAAATCTTCCAAATTCGTGCAAACGTAAGTTGTTTAATAATAGCGCGCAATATTAATATTTCAACACAATAATTACCATTATTTTGCAGGTTGTCTCATTTGTGCGACAATTTCTAGATCGCATGGGTTTCCTTGAAGTAGAAACGCCTATGATGAATATGATTGCAGGCGGTGCAACTGCAAAACCCTTCATAACGCATCACAATGATTTGAATATGGATTTGTATATGCGTGTAGCACCCGAATTGTATCACAAAATTTTAGTAGTTGGTGGCATAGATCGTGTCTATGAAATCGGTCGTCAGTTCAGAAACGAAGGCATTGATTTAACGCATAATCCTGAATTCACCACGTGCGAATTCTATATGGCTTATGCCGATTTTAATGATCTAATTGAAATCACTGAGAAAATGATATCAGGAATGGTAAAAGCCATACATGGTACATTTAAAATTAAATATCATCCTGAAGGGCCCGAAGGACCCGAAGAGGAAATCGATTTTACACCACCATTTAAGCGTGTTTCGATGATAAAGACATTGGAAGAAAAGCTAAATGTCAAATTTCCACCAGCAACAGAATTTAACAAAAAATCAACAACTGAATTCCTCTCTCAACTTTGCGTCAAACATCAAGTTGAATGTCCAGCACCACGTACAACAGCACGTCTGCTTGATAAGTTGGTCGGTGAATTTATTGAAGAGACATGTATAAATCCAACCTTTATCTGTGAGCATCCGCAAATAATGTCGCCATTAGCTAAATACCATCGTAGTGAGCCAGGATTAACGGAACGTTTTGAGTTGTTCATCATGAAGAAAGAAGTGTGTAATGCGTATACAGAGTTGAATGATCCGGTGGTGCAACGTGAACGATTTGCACAGCAGGCTAGTGATAAGGCAGCAGGCGATGATGAAGCCCAACTGATTGACGAAAACTTCTGTACGGCGCTGGAATATGGCCTACCACCAACTGGTGGTTGGGGTTTGGGTATCGATCGCTTAACAATGTTCCTCACCGATACCAACAACATTAAGGTACAATATAAATAAAATAATAATAATGATGATGAAGATATTTATTAAAAAATTTCTTTTGATTTATAGGAAGTACTCTTCTTCCCTGCTATGAAGCCTGAAGAAGCTAACAGAACGCAACCGCCTACAAGTGAAGGTGAAAAAGTTAACGAGAAGCAATAAAACCGGATTTCTAATGGATTTCTAATTGAAACACTTGCTAGTTTTTGATAAAGTTGATAAAGCAAATACAATTCTCAGAAAAAAATAAAATATTTATTTGCCCCTTAAACAGATTTTCATTTGCTAAAATATAGGTGAATTCCATGCTGGGTAAGATCTTACTAAAAATTTAAAATTTTAACTTCAACGAAAGCAGAATGTGAAAGTCTACTTTATTGTTATGCTGATGAATATTCAATCTCCCGATCAGACGGGTTAGTGATAACCTTTGTTCGAAAGCGAACGGCTATCTACTTTGCCGGTATACGCTTGAGACTCTTAACTGGGAATAAGTAACGTGCCGGCTGGATTTGAATGTCAAAGACGATAATTTCTTACGTTAAATTCGAAACAACCCAAAATTACAGAAAACTGCATTCGACACCCTGCACTTCTTCAACTCGTGTGCGTACCTCTCCCAAAATCAGCACACTTACCTAATCCCTCAGTCACTAGTCGGTTACACCTGAAACAAAGATCGATCAGCCGGTCGTAGTCATAAATTACAACAGCTAAACAGTAACAATAAAAACGGAATTTACAGATCGCCTCAAGGACCACAATCGGAAATCACCTTAGATATATTTAAGTTAGGTAGTGCTGCTGAAGGAATCAACGAGAAATCGTGAAAAGCGATATTGAAACCCGATCGTCATCTTTTGCACCTCTTTGCACGTGCCCTTAAAATCCACTCGTGTAACACACTTTTTTCTTTGGTACAAACACGCCGAAGCAGCTCACGAGCGCCGGCTCAGCGCACCGGAGTTGACCTGGTTATTCTACGATCAAGTGCTGTCACCCTTTTGGGCGATCTGGTCTCGTTTAGGTCAACAGGTAATACCAGTCTACAATAACAATAACAAAAACGGCATGAATTCTCCTTTATATGTTTTTGATATTTCACTTTTTATTGATTCCACTCTCTCAGTTGCCGCCGATTAAAAGCGACTTTTACACAATTCTTTAAGTTTAGCTCATGAAATGCATTTTTAATATAAGAACAATATTTCCGTATCCTCTAAAAATACACCGTAGAACATACGATGCAAAAACGGTATACATACATATTGGTTTATAACTAAAAATAAAATACTAAACATTACAATAATATTAAAATCTTTAAATATTTTGTATGTAGTCCACTCATTAGAATATTAAAATATGAATTTAGAGAATATTTGCAATTTTACAAAACTAATTTTCAAACTAGCGACAAAGCGTGGATAACATGAAATACGTATTATTTCAAAACAAATTTATATAATATTAATAAGTGAATTGTCAAATTCAATCATTTTTTACTACATACATAAATGTTTTGCCTAATGCACAATTAATTCATTGAAGAATTTTTGTGTCTCTTAATTTCCAATCAATGAATTTCTAAATTTTGTGAAGAATGCTTACTTAACGAACGATCAGAGTTAAAATGAATTAAAACTAATTGATGAATATGTTTAAATGGTGAAAGGTATATCCTTGAATTCCGGATCGTTGGCAGGTTTTATATAAGCGCCACCATATTTGGCCATGTACTTTTTTATAAATTCGCGCGATTTATTCTTAACGGATTCTGTTACGACAAGTGTTTGGCCAACTGACTCACAGTATTTCAATTCTTTAACCATTACGAAGTGTGTAAGCTGCAAAAAAAAAACCAAAAAAGAAGTTTAATCATTTTAATTAACTAATTAATTTATTTTTAAATGAACAACTGCACTGCTACTAACTTTTCGCGCCAAGTGATTGAAATCTTCATCGCTCTGTATACGACCCAAGATGCATGATTCTTTACGATATGGTTTCAAATGTTGCACAATAATGCCAGCAATTTCGCAACGGAACTTTTCTTTATTTCGACGATACTTGGAATCGGTATCTTTGCTCTTTTTGCTATAAAAAAATATATATAATTCCATATACATATTTCAGTTTTAAAACATATAGGTAGCAAAATTGTATAGCAAACCTTTTATCTTTCTTATCCGACTTTCGTCGTTTATGCTCACTGCCACCGCTACTACTACCACTGCTGGTGGCACTGCTCGGCCCTGGCTGTGCATTGAGCTCCCGATGCGGGGGCAGCGAGCGCTTGAGCGCACGCTTTGTGGTGAGCGCATCCAATTCGTCGACAATTTTATCGCCTTGTACAATTTTCTCCAAAAGTGGACTATTATTGCATTCCTCTTTCATAATTTCCTCTTCATCGGATGATAGTAAATAGTCTTGTATGGGTATTGCACCATCCGGTTCATCAGTGCCATCACCACTTTTGTCCTTTGAAGTGGACAATTCTGCATTTAAGCTTTCTGCCAATGTGTTCGGATCAATGCCGCCTAAAGCCGCAGCTTTCAACGTTTCCGCGCGCCTACGACGTATTTCCTCCTTACGTTTACGTATTTTCTCCTTATTCTCTTTGTATTTGCGCATCTCGATTTGATTGTAAATGCGATCTTCCTCTTTGCGCGGCTGCAGTGTGAATTTCATATATATATATATATATTTTTTTTTTAATAAAACATTAAATCAATTATTTTACGCTTAAATACTTACGCTTATGGGTCGCTCATCAACCAAACGACTGTAGCGTTTGTGTCGACGTTTTTCTACTTTCTTATCGATAAAAGCTCGAAGTTGCGCCTCATCCATGCCTTAAAATAGAATAAACATATTTCATGCGATAACCGTAAAATGATGGACAGAAAGCCCCATACATACCTATGAGCACATCATCTTCTTCGCTACTCTCGTTCACAATCTTGGCCTCCTCACAAGACTCACTATCGGAGCTATCCGCTTCTTCAGCGGCAGCACGAAATTGTTCTGGTGTTGGTGGATGCCATTGCGGTATCCTATGTTTGGCATGGTAGTAGTATATTTGACCTAACGTCGTTATGGCGTATTTCCATTGACGCGGCAACGTGGCAACCGCTGCTGGTAGTTTATAATCGTCGGGATCTGTAGATTTGGGTTTTGGCTGCACTTGTATGTGTGCGTAACATGGTGGGGTGGGTATTGGCTGACGGGCTACAGAATACCATTGGCCGGTTGAAGGATCCACGCAGAAGGGTACATCCTGGGTACGCGTTTTTTTCGGATCCAAACCGAAGAAACGACATTTCGTTTCGAATTCTCGACGCTCCTCAGCCAAACGTTTTTCGGCTTCGTCGCGTGCAACCTACAGAGAAATTGTGTATTGTTATTATGTGCAATTAATATAAAATTGTTTTTGCTTTAATTCGCTCCTACCTTTGCTGCAAACATCTCTCGTCTCTGTTCCTTCGATAAATGTTTCATGCCTTCATTGTTTCCATTGCTATCTTGCGCTGAACGTCGACGTGGATCACTGACTGTCATTGAGCCTACAACCGTTATATTATGGTTACGACTATCTTTGCTAAAGCTTGGCTTGGAATAACGCGATGTGGTGGGTCCTCGCCCGAAACGATCGCGCTGATAACGATCACTTATCATGGAACGATTAGTATCCAAGGACGACTCGGCAAACTGTCGATCAGCCTCACGTTCGTGTTCTTTCATTTGTTCGATACGCTCACGTTTCGGTATGCGGAAAATTTCTGGTAAACTGTTCCAAGCGCTGGTTAATTTCAAAGCCAATTTCTGCAATTCGGATGGCACCTCCTCGCCTGTAGTAGCTAACTCTGGTTGTGAATTGCTGCTCGTGCTCTCTTTTGATGACTCGTCGCTGGGTGAAGCAGAGCTGCCGGTTGGTACACTATTCGGGGGCAACGCGTTGCCACACCAATTTCGTACAGTCTGATAAACTTTACTGTCGGTGAGTACAGTCTTGTTTGCTATGGGCAAGCTCTCCAGCGCCTCCAAGAGTGACAGACGTATTGCCATATCGCCACCATCTTCGCTCATCCAGCCATGTAACAAACGTAAACCATGATAGTCCAAGAAGAGACGACGACAGGGTAACTCGGCGTTACGTAGAATTTTTAGTAAATTCAGTCGAGTCTGTGGCAGTTTTGCGCGTACAACCAAACGTGAAAAGCGTAAAGTGTCCGATTGGTTTCTTAACCCGCCGCGACTGAGAAACTTGACCTCATCTTCAATATCAGGATCTTCCAAATAACGCGACGCCTTCGCTTGTTCGCCCGCGCCAGCTTTACGTAGTCTTTTCTCTTTCTTCTCTTTATTTTGTTTCCTTCTACGTGCGGCTTTATCTGTGGACTTACCGGCGAGCTTTTTAAGTTTAGCTTTCAACTCTTCGTCTGTATCTTCGCCAAGTTTCTTCTTCTTATCCTTAATCGCACTGTCTTTTACTTTGCCATCTTCTTCGACACTTATTGATTTATTTGCAATTGCTTCGGCTTTCTTATGCGCATCTTCGATACTATCATCGCTATCTTCTTCATCACTACCGTCGGCCAAGTTATCCGCATCACTGTCATCATCTATCTGTTCACCCTCGTCGGAGTTGGGCTCTTCGCCTATCCAGCCGCGGCAGTTAGCCGACTCGCAGTAACAACGTTGTGCCTCTCTGCCATACCGTTGGTATTGATAGTCGAAGGTGATCTCCTCGCCTGGCATAATGGACTTGCGACTGAAGAATCCTATACGTAACTCACCATTTACAGTCCATTTTTGCGTCTCGGCATTGGGATCGCAGGAATGATTTATGAATCGTGAAATGTTACCCTTGATTGTGGCATCGATTATAGCATCACTACGCAGCGCCATAAAGTAATAGTGACGATTTTTGTCCAACGAATAAGCCGTGCGTCGCTGCTCGAACTCATCGCCATCGATCACCTCGCCAACATATTCCATTATAAATTCCCCAGGCAATATTTCGATATCGGCCATGATGCCGAAGCCTTTCTTTTCCGTGCGAAAAACGCGACACGGGGAACAGAGTAGCTTCTGAAAACGTTTGTTTGTACAGCGATCTTTAACATTACAATCGGGTCCACACTCTATCATCAGCAGGCGATTCAAACAATCTTCGCCACAACCCAACTCACCACGTTCCTCCTCCTCGGCTGTCAAGAAACAATCACACAACATTTTACGTGCCTCTCTACTGATTACGCGCTCACATTTATACTCATTATCTTTAATGACATGAAAATTACTCAAGCGCTCCTCCATTTCTTTTAGGAACTTTGCATTTTTCGCCTCCACTTGAGCCAAATCGGTCAAATGATCATCCAAGCTGTAGTGAGTTTTCATTTCCACATCATCTTTTATGGAGAAACGCTCTTTTTCGCGCACCAAACCACGACCTACGAGCGCTTTTGGTGTCTTCGTTATTTGTTTGATGCGATGAGAACGTCGCACGCCCGTTATTTCGTCGATTGATGAATCTTGAATGGGACTTTTCGGTGGAGGGGTTGTTGTTGGTGTGGCGACGGGTGTATCTACGGGTGTTTCGTAATAAATACTCTGACTGAGTGTATTGCTAGCTTCTTCGAAAGACTTCTCAACTGGTGTAACATCGCCCGCTATGCTTTCGTTCGGAGTTATCATACTTTCCACGAGTGGCGGTATGGTTTCATCTTCTTTGCTTACCGAATCCGTTTTATTTTCTTCTTTTTGTAAAAGTGACTTCGGACAAAGAACTTCGTCTACACTATCGTCATCAATCTTATAGCCACGTTTTAGCAAATTTACACCATCTTCGATGAATTTTTCAATATCTTTCAAGGGATCTGGTTCTTCTTCGGGCTCGTTTATAGCCGGTGTTTCAGGCAGCTTTTCGACTGCAGTTTCTGTTGCGTGGATTTGTTTCTCTTCAATAGATATTGTGGTTGGAGCGGTAGGTAATGGGTCTGGTTGTTTCACTTTTTCCTCCTCCATCGCAACAACACTTTCAGACGTGCTGGCGCTTTCTGCAATAGGTGCGGCAGATGCTTCTGGTTTGTCTAAGGCATCTTTCAGTGCAGCCTCAAATGCTTCTTTCAATTTCTTTTGCCTTTTTTTCTTCGCACTTTTTTCTTCCAATTTCTTGGCTAATTCATTGCTTGCGGTTTCTTCGATGACCAAAAACTCTTTTTTCTTTTCAGACTTCTTCGACGCAGACAGGGATCTCTCTTTTTCTTTATTATCGGCAGTTTTTATATCTATTTTCTCGTTACTTCCACACACTTGATCCACTTTGGACTTTCGTTTACCACCTGATTTCGGTTTGTGTTCTGGTGTTTTCTCTGCACCTTTTTTTTGTTTGGAACGTTTACCCATGGGCGTTGTTGTCGCTGAGCGGCTTTCCTCTTCTATTGCAGTTTCCACTTGGCTCTCCAAGGTCGCCGGATCTTTCAAATCATCAGATGTTTGAATATCTTTTTTCGATTTTTTCTGCGCAGAGTCTTTGGATTTACCGTTGTCAGTTGTAGATTTCCTAGCAGTTGCCGGATTCGCATCAACATTAGCCGTACTAGTGCTTGGCAGCTCCATGGTTGAGGTGTTACTTTTATCTTCAAGTTCCATTTGCATCTTCAGTAGACGTTTCTTAGGCGGCGCTTTCGACAAAAGTTCTTTTTCAACGGCTTCAAGTGCACTGGAATCGCTTACTTCGTCAGAAACTTCGGCAGATAAATCGCCAGTAGACGTTTCATTGGCTGCCTTGCTTTTTCGTTTTTTTGCCACATCCTCTACAGCATAACTCGTTTGTCCCTTTGCCTCAATCGGTTGCTCTTCTGATGATTTACTTGGTATTTTAGTTTCCGTAGGAGTTTCGGGCTTTGTATCGACTATTTTCTCTTCAGATAACTGCTTTGTGCTCTTACGTTTTCTAACCTTTTTCGGCTTTTCAATGGGTGTTGCGTATTGTTGACCTTCTTCCAGCACTGGCACATTTTGAACTGTCGTGTTGTTACTAATTTCGGTACTGCATTTGGATTCGACGATGGAGTCGTTATTTGTAAGCGATAAATTTAACGATGTACTTCGAATGGAGTCTATATTTGTTTCCATAGCATTTTCTACCGTAATTTCAAATGATTCTTCTGGCTCAGTACTTACGTTTTGCACAGAGTCTTTAAGAGGCTCAAAAACCTTCTCATCAAGCTCGCCCTCTGCTGATTTCTGCGCCTTAGCATTTGTACTCCTTTTCGGCTTCCGAGTTTTTGTTGGTGTTGATTTTTTTCTTTCTTTAGTTTCGACTACTGTAGGACTGCTGATATTAGCAGACTTATCCACCGAAATATTTGATATTTCGCTATCAGTTGGTTGAGTAGTTTTTGTTGTAGTATAGCTCGAGGCGTACGGAATGTCTGTTACCTCCACAACTAAGCCGATCTCAGTTACGTTTGCAAAACTATCTTGTGCTGGTGTCGTGATTTCCTGAGTGCTGATTTCAACGACATTCTCCACTTCCGATAACTCGGTGGTATTACTGTTTTCGAGTACGGTAGTGCTACTCTCGGTTGTATCATAGACTTGATCTTGCAACTCGTTGATTTCTTCTTCTAATATTGATGTTTCGGTTGCTTTGGAAATATTGCCCACGATAGTCGAATCTGTTGTGCGCACATTAGTTGCCTTAAACACCTGCGTTTCGATGGTTTTCTGGGTGTTTTCACTTAAGGCGTCAGTAGCGTTGATAGATTTGTGTTTTGGAGATCTCTTACTTCTCCCCTTGCGACCACGACGTGAAGGCGAAGAATTAGTTGAATTACTATCTGTGTCTTCTTGTAATATGATAACTTGCGGTGCACTGCATTGCACTCTAGAAGATCCATCTTTCTGGTATGTTTCCGATGTTGATTCACACGTGATTACCTCGACAGTATTTTCAACATTAGAAATTACATCGCATTCTAATAACTCAGTCGTATATATCACTTCATTTTGCAACTCAATGCCTTTGGTCGAGCCGTCTTCCAAAGTAACTTCAGTGGGATTTTCATTTATATGAACATTTTCGATAATCTCAACTTGCTGCTCGCTAATGTTTGCATCATCTAATACCATTTCGGCAAAATTTTCTGGCACATCTTCGTTAAGTTCGTTCCTGGCTTGCAATTCCAAAACCGCTTTCGAGCTTTGTGCTGCTATTTCAGCGAATGTCTCCTCCAAAGTTTTATGGCCGGCAGTTTCACCGCGTCGTGACCGTCTTTCGTTACGCCGAGTTGGCTTCTTTGACGATTTACAACTGGAACTGTCTGAAAAGCTAGGTGAGGGTGTCTTTTTAGCACTTGTTTTATTCAATTCATCTCGTGAAGATTGCGAATCTGTGGTGGAGTTTATCTCCTCCGAACTACTTTCATCAAACGCATGCTCTTGCTCAGGCTTATTGCAAATGTTCTGCATTTCTGTAGTTTCAGACATTTTCAAAACATTTTGGGCAGGTTTATCAGTCACAACTGCTGGTTCATGGCAAACATTAATTGTTTTCTCATCAGTCTTTACCTCAACAAGATCGGTTATGTTTTTGAACAAAGTTTCTTTAGTCTTTGTCTCTTCTATTTGTGCTGTTCTTGACTTAATTTCGATGTCTTCTGCTATAGAACCAACGTTTTCATCAAAGCTCTGGACATGCTTGAGCTGGTCGATCGTAGGCTTTTCGCATGAGAGTTCATCTTGATAATCCACTGCCTCTGTAAGTTCTTCATCAGTTTTGATCTGCTCGTTTGGTAGCAACACTTTATTGACATCATCTATTTTTTGAGCTGTAATCTCACAAGGTGTGTTAGCATCTTCACAAACATTCGTAGGCGATTGTAATTGATCAGTAGTTGTGGAGAATGATTCCGCACTGTTTGGCTCTACATAATTTTGCACCGTTTTCGTTGCCAATGTTATGTTATTCTGTTTAACGGTATTTAAGATATCCAATAAAGTGCTTGTCTCCACATTCGCCGCCACATTATGTAAGGCTTCTTCGTACATCTTAAACTTGCCCACTTGTTTTTTCAAGGGCAAAGTAATACCGCCTTTCTTGCTGCGCTTCGATGTGGACGGCAATTCTTCGTAGCTGGCTGCTATTTGTTGTTCGTTTGCTATTGTTATTGATGTATTGGATACCGAAGGCAATTCCTGTATGCAGATTTTAGGCTTTGCTATTTCTGTATCCAAAATTTGCTCTGTTGCTGCCAATTCTACATTAGTATTTTCCACCGTATTGGAAGTAATGTTATCATTTTCTTCTTTGGTTATGACAACTTCGCTAACCGTTTTAACGGCATTTAACGTATTACTTTCAAATGGCTGTGCACTTTGTTTCTCTGCTTTGTTTTCGGCAATTTCCAGCGGTAAAACTGTTTTATTTATATTTTCATTTGAATTAATTTCGAAATTCGTTTTACACTCTTCTTCAATGACTTTATTATTGTCTAGTGCTTTTTTAGGTAGACGATGAGATCGCCTTGTGGGAAGATTTCTACTTAATGTTACTTTACTTAATTCAGTGCTAGTTGTAGTTATAGGACTGCTGCTATCATCGCTGTTGTTTTTATTATTGTTGCTGTTGGCCGTACTGCTACTAGCTATGACGTCACTGCAACTACTTGACGCTGAGGATGGCGATAATCCACACTGTGGCATTGCTAAACGTTTGAGTGAAACTCGCAATTTATCACCACTCTTATAGCTTTTATTACTACGTTCCGAACCGCTCTCTGACTCTGAACCACTTGACTTACGGATGTCAGCGGTCTTTATATTCCGTTCTGAGTTACTTTCAACTATTTTTACAAGATCCAGTACAACTGGCTTTTGTAAATTCCCATCGGTACTGGTTTCTAAGGATATGCTCTTATCAGTTGATACATTTTCCGTTGTAATCTCTTCAACGGCGGCCACAATGAACTCTGGTGCTGAAATAGTTTCGCAAATACTTGGACTCTCTTGTAAAATGCATACAGAAGCAAAGTTCCTTTGTTGTGATTCGTGTACATCGGTTGTGGAAGGCGTTGCGACCGTTTGGAATTCATGTTCTGATACTGAAGAAGTAGATGAGATCTCTAAGATTACATCATCAGTGTGTGCTTGTGGTTTTTGTGTAAAACTTGTCAAAGATTCACTAGAACTTGAAAAATGGCAAGTACGATTTAAATTTGCTTTATACTCCTTCCAATTGGTTGCAACATTAGTTGTTGCTTTACTCGAGATTTCTTTATCTTCGGGCTTTTTGTTTGTATATTTTTCAGTTGGAGGATTTTGTTGATCCGGTGTATATTTATCTATAGTTGTAGTTAATTTTATTGCTGATTTCAGATTTGATTTTGTTGAAGGATTTTGCGCTACAGTGGCTATTTTATTTTTCGGCGGACGTCCTCTACGTTTTTGGACACCGAATTCATTTGGGCTGCTCTTGGCATCAGCCGTTGTTGTTGGCAAAACAAATGCATTGGTAGTACTTTTACGCTTGTTGGAAACATCTATTAGTAAATAATGAATTTGTTAGGTATTAAAATTGTTAACTTTTAGAGTTTGATAAATTTATGTTTCTTGTGATTTTTTTAAGTTAAAAATATATTTTTTGTAAAAACATTTATTTCGAAGTTGTTTCAATTAAAATGCGTTGCTCAAAATAAGGTTACCTTATATTTAGTGAATATTTAATTACTTTTAATTTTTCATTTAGATTTTTTATATTTTTTCCGCAAGTTAATTATTTGGCTTTTTTTACTATATCATAAATTGTTATTGTTTAAATTTACATATGTGAACACAATCTTTGGAGAACATGTATGGTCACTACCACAGACGTATGTATATGTATGTACTTAAATAAATATGCATACATAAATATATCAATATGATTTCAACACCCATTTTACTTGCAGTATCTTACGTAGCACATTTTGATGCTATTTTTGTGCTTATCAAGGTTAGTGTTAGATACACAATTCATATACATATAGTTCTTAAGTAATTTCCCTTAAATAATTTTTTGTTTTATATTTTACTTACTTGTAACCTTTTTCTGCTGCGGTGGAGTCGAGCTCATTAATACGCTGCTGGAGCCAGAAGTGTTGCTTTCTATTTGTGCGACAATGAGACTAGAATTCTGCTTCGATTTCATTAAGCTGGCATTAAATATTTCTTGTGTTCGACTTAGGCGTCTAGCTTGTGCAATTTTTGCAGGATCCATTGAGACTAGTGTGTCCACATTACTTTTCAGATTAATTGGGCTCTTGCCCAACACACAGATTTTTGGCATAGACGTTAGAGGTGGTGGTAGTGGTGGTGCATTTATCTTATTCTGTTGTTCTGATATTGATATACGTCGAAATATTGCCGATTTCTCCATAAATGCTTTTTGTTTACTACTCAAATCCGTTGTTGACGATAAAACCGCGGCGCCATCATTACTAATAGCAGCTCCCATTGGCGCTGTGACAGTGCTCTTTTGTGTCTGTGGAACATTTGAATCGATACGTGCTTCTATTTGAATTTTATGTGGCTTGCGATGTTTATTCAAAAGATCTCGAACATCGAATTTTATTATTTTTTTACGTGAACTACGTCGGCATTCGCTGCTAGTTGCCGCAGTAGCTACACGCGTATTTCCTGCATTAGCGGCTACATTTGACAACGTAGATGGTGAGATAGCCAGCACAGCACCATCAATTTCCATTAAATTTTCATTTTCCATACGTCTCACTGGACTTTCTGTGCTATCCACTAAATCAGATGTTTTTTGCACACTCACTTCTTCAGACACTTCTGTACCTTCGGTAGAAGGCTTTGTTTGTGTAGCTTTGGGTGGCCTGCCTAAACGTTTACGTTGTGGCGTCCCTTCTGATATGGATGGCGGCGAATCCATTGCTTAATTAATAATATTTATCTTTGGATAAAAAAAAAGAAATTAATTAACAGTGCGATTCTAAATTAATACATATTTGTATATGTGCATATGTATGTATGTAGATAACTTTACTATACGTACTTTTTATAGACTTCGTTCGATGTTTAAATTGTGTAAATGCTGAAACACCCACGACAACCGCATATGTTCTACGCAAGCCTCATGCTATCGAGAGTAGTTCGAGCTTTTTTATTTAGAAAATATAAAAAAAAAATTCTACTTTATATTCTTAGATTCAACGCACCACACGAATTTTCCAAAAATATATACATATATATTTCATATAGCAATTTGGAATTACACACCATTTACATAAACAATCAGTATACACCCTCCCACCGATACTACGAGTTCAGTGTCAATTCAACTGCAAAGATTTTATATCAGAAATTTAACTTAACTTAAATTATATGCATATTTTGAAAATAATAATTTGTGGAGAAAATTTATAATTATGTACCTTGAATTTCTTTGTAGGTTTTATTGACTGCATGCAAGAGTCCGATTTAATTAAATATACATGCGGCCGCTGCTAAAAAATCTTCCGAAATTGTTAAAGAAATTGAAAAAACAAACCCACCCAGTGTTGCCACACTCGCATACTTGTAGACTTCATTACGAATGGGCGGTCAAAACAAGAGCGATAAATATTGTGCTGCAAACATTTGTTAGTAAGTACTCGGTTATAGGTAATTAATATTTCGAGATAAGAAAAGTAATTGCTTTCTAAAGTTTTGTATAATGACTTTAACCCTTTATTTTGAATTTTAAAATCATTGGTGGTATTCACTATTCTTTTTCGACGATGTTCTAATCGTTCAAATACTTTAGCGAGGGTTTAACTATTGGTTTGATGCGTAAAACACAAGATTAGATTTCTCCTGGCCCACGCGAGCTGAAATGGAAATTGCTGCTGCATGGTGCGCCCTATTTTTTGGAGGTGCTATTGGGACTATCGATTGCACTCATATGTCAATCATGAGTCCCAAATATGATTCTCATTTCAAAACGTTAGTGGCAAATGTTAATGCTGTGGTGCCACCTTTAATTTACTAAAATAAAACGGGAGTTGCCAGCTTTCAATTGACGTTCAAAATGCATTAGCGTTTCACATAATCGTTAGTTTAAGCCACAAAAATCGATGCGAAAAATCGTATCGCTATAATGTAAGTGAATTCCTCTACAAATTTGAAAATTTCGCTATACACTTAAATGAAAAGACAAATCACTTTATATTCTTGTTTAATTTTATTTATATGAAAACTGCTATTACTTTACTTAAGTAAATAATAGAAATATGGAACCCATACTACACATCAAGAAATCTTTGAGCATCATAACACACAAAACGTTTCAACTACTTGTGTGCAACTGAAAATTTTCTCTAATATCATTTTAGGAATTTTTAAATTTATCAATTAATATTTTTTTTTGATTTTTGATTAATCCAATTTTGAAAAGTTACAATTTAATTTAAAATAAAAATAATTTGACAATAAAATAACAATAACAAAAAAAATTGTTTTTAATTATAAGATTAGTTACTTGTATTTATTAGTAATTTAAATAAATATCTTTTTTTTTTTGAAATTGTCAAATTGAGTCACTCATCTAATTGATTTCAAATTAACATTTATTGATTTATTTAATATTCAATTAATAAGCATGCACATTTAATGCAGTCTACCCACAACTACATTATTTCATCAACCGATTTATTTAATTCATTAAAGAAATATAAGAAGCACAACATACAATTTAGCACTTTCTCTCTCCAAATATTTATTTTAAGTATTAACAAAAAAATAAATTAAAATAATATTCTCCATCATATGATACACACATATTTTGTAGTTTTTATGCTTGAATGTCTACAATAATATGCATAAGCCTCAACCAATGTTTGAAAGGAGTTGTTTATGAAAAAAGTAAGTCGCATTGCGTTGCGTCGAACACGGAGCACATCCGAATTTTGTTGATCAAAATACAAAAGAATACTTAATAAGTTGTACGTACGCATTTTCTTAATAATGGCAAGTATGTATTCAATTAGCTATTGCAAAAAAAAAAAATGTTATAAACAAATGTCAGGAGTCAAAACTATTACTTAGCCATTTTGTACAGAAAAATAAACAAGGAAATATTTTTAAATTACAAACATCGAGATGCAAAAACAATATGCATTTGTTATCTAAATCAAACAGTTTTGTAGGCAACAGACTGTCACATTTGACCCGTTTCACTCCATTATTCTGCTCTTACTACAAACTTACAAGCTATTTTTTGACATATTGTTAAATCTAAATTATAACTGAGTCAGTTTGTTCTTACGTTTATTTTATTATTTTATTTTATTAATTTGTTTTTCTTTTTTTTTAGTTTTAGTTTTCATACAATGCATAATTCTATTTTAATGTTCTTTTTCTGCTTTTTCAGTGAAAATGTAATATCAAGAGCATACAATTGTTAAAGAGTTGAGTTTTAAACTCTCCTCATCATTGCTTTAGTTGTGTAAAATGTGAATGTACTTAATTAATTGGTACATGGCTTTAAAGAATTGTATTTAATGCTGGTCCATTTGATGTTCAATTTTTAGTTATTAGGTAATGTTTACAGAAATTAAAAAAATATTCGGTTACGCTGTCATTAAATGCTACAAATTATATAAAATATAATTTCAATTCTCTTCTATAATGAACAAAGCAACTATTTTAATTCAATGCATTATTCCTCCATATTTTGCTATGAAATAACATTATTACTTAAAGTATATAATCTTTTTTGTTGTTTACTTTTCATTTTTTGTTTCCAATAAATAGTTATTAAATCAAAACAGATATTTATTAAAATACATAAAGAATTTGATAATCCTTTAGCAAATTATATAAATTTATATGTATATATAATTTACAAATTATAATTTAATTATTAAATATATATTTTTACGAATTATTCAAATGGTAAGCAGTTTTTCTAAATTTTCGCTAAAAATGCGAAAAAAATAGTCCGGCTGGTTTGGAAGATATCTAGGAGAGGAAAGGGTTGAGTAGATGTTTTAGATATTTATGCGTCGGTATTGTGTTTGTGTATAAGTCAAAACGTGTGTATGTGTATTTGCCTTCCTTTTTGATTTATAATGCTTATCATATAAAACAAACTAAAAATTCGTTTAAGCGTCACAGCACCAAATTTTTAATCTGTAAAACTGAAAACATATATTTTTGTATTAGTAGTACTCGTATGTATGTATATTAATGGGAAAAAATGTTATACAGACACTTTTTGTGCTACATACATTTAAATATGTATGTAAATACACGCATATACATAAAATATATAACAAAAAAAAAAGTTATATTTTGTTCAACACACCTGCTACCACAAGTGATGTAAATGTAAATTTCTTGACAAAACTGAACGTACGTCCTTTGTAAATCTCAAGGCGTCCAGCATTGGAAGTAGTGAGAGTAACGCAACATCCATTGGGTCGGAGAACCAACTCTTTATTGGTATCGCGTTATTAGGAAAACAACGATATGCGCCTGGTGAATTGTCAATTATGAATATCTATAAGTGGACACATGTGAGTAACAACGTTCACGTTATTTATAATGAGATTAACAATAATATGTATTTTTTTTTTCATATTTACTCTATTCAAGTCACTACAAATAGCAGATAAATCTTTGGTGTAAGAACTGAAATCAGGTGTGCAATGCTGACGATAATATCGCCGACGTAAAATATTACGTCCGTTGTCCAGTTTGTCAGCAACTGCTGCTCCATATATTTCCATACTGGCTGTAAATATGACTAGGTCATACCATTGTGAAACCTAAACAACAATTATATATAATCGATGCTAGCGATTAATTAATTATTTATTATATGATTTCAAAACAACTTACCACATCCAAAAAATAGTCTACATGGGGCCTTTTATGTACGAAGAAACGTACTGGATGATGATCAATAATTACTTTTACAGTAAAGTCGTGTGGTGTACCAGGTTTAACCGTATTGCGTGACATTGCGCTATGATGTGAATGTATAAGCGTCTCATCTAGATCTAATACAAGAGTTTTACGTTGAACAATACCGAGACGATGTCTGGACACCGGCGACAATGGGAAGAGCTCATATTTGACTGGTTGATATTGTACAATCTGAAAGTGTAGTTAGTAGTTAGTACTGAAAATCTGTTTTTTTTTTTTTAAATATAATCAAAAAATTTTTAACAGGATAACTAGTGGTGAGTTTGGAGAAGCCTTTAAAAATATAGAAATTTTTTTTTACAAAGGTTAATGGTATCTATATAGTAAACACCTATGCCGGCATATAATCCGGTGCCATTTAAAGGCAAAGCAAAAATCTAATTTTCTTTATTAGAATAATTTAAATTTAACGCATTCTTAATGATAAAAACCAAAAATCATGTTTTTTAAGTACTTACCGAGCGAACTTGTCTGTTGAACATAAAACAGATGCATGTCCACACTCTTGATAGTAATACCGATAAAGCGCTGAAGTTCATTTGTACAAAAGAAAACATTGGTAAGCGACGTCGTTAACGTCTTACCAATTATTCATACACTCTCAGGAAGTTAAGAAACAACTGCAATTAAAATTTATTAATGATAATACTAGAGTAGAAAATATGATTGCAATTTCAATATTAATGTTGGAAAAGCGCGGCAACAAAGCTCTGCGATGGGCAACAACAAAATCAATAAACGAATACAGAGATAAAATTTTCCACTCGCAAATAGTTATAAAAGTAAATGTATAAAACTGCAATTTTCAAGATTAAACCACAAATTCAGTGTTTTTTTTTACCATGTAGAACTATTAGAATTTAATTACAACTGAAAGAAGCTTATGCATATGATTTTGTGAATAATTTGCTTTGTTTTTTTCGATTTGCTTTCAATCACTTTCTCATATCTCCACAAATATAAGTACAGAAAGACGAAAACAAACCCGAACTATGGACAAGCAGCCAAGCCGAAACGAACACAAATTAATTTCAAGCCTTTCTTCGATAAAATTTAACGATGAAATCACTTTGAAAAAAATTTAATTCTGACTGTAGACAAGTAATACAATTTGTCGAAAACCTGCAAAAAAAAAAATTGTACACTTTGACTTAATCTCAATGTTTGGCGAACGTCATAATTATGTAAATAAGAGCAGAAAGGATAAAAAGAAAATGTGCCCTTGGCCTTTGGCCAAAAAAATTGCCGATTACTAACGAAAGCATGTGGGTGACTTATTAACAAATCTAAAATACGCATGAATATTTTTAATTTACAATTAATTTTGCGACGAAAATCATTTATAAAATCGGAACTTTACAAAGATCAAATACAGTTGTAAGGAACAATTATTTGCTTCTTTAAATCAAATTAATTAATGGATTGGCAACTCTAATATTTGCACATTGCCATTTACCAATTCGCCACATTTCAACGCTGATTTTTTTCTCTTACACAGTTATTCTCTCGCTTTTTTGTGCTCGTTTCTATATTAAAAATTCACTTTGTTAACCACTTCGTTTTTCCGATTCTATCACGGCAATTTTATCTATAATTATTTCACCAACTCTTCACCTATTTACTTGGATTTTGAGAAGTTTTTGTTAGCATTTAAAAAATTCCTCTGCCGCACATAAATTTTAATCAATTCTAATTCAATTTTTCATCAACCGCTTCAATTTCGACTATCCTCTCCACAAACACTGTTGAATAAATATCTGCGAATTTTCACTCCTGAGCGTTACCAGATAGCATCAATGCTGTGATTTTTTAAAACGTATTTGAATAAAAATAAGCGCTTTTAAGTCATAAATAAACTCAAAAGAAGTTTACATATTTAAGGAATTATGAATTTATTTACTCGACGGAATTTTCGCTTTGTTTTTACGATTTTAATTATAGGTTTCACGTATCAAGCTCATTTAAATGTTGTAGAAACTGGCAGCCCTATCATTGTAGTCAAGCGAAATAAAAGGTTAATGCTTGACATGTAACTGAGTTGCAAATTTCGTAACTATCCTTTTTCAATATTTTTTTAACATAAATTATAAATATATCTCCTCCTCCATAATTGCCAAATATTAATGATAAGAAATAGTTTTTTTAGAATTGTTTCCTTGGTCTTGAATTTTATAACCATGTTTTTTTTCATTTTTTCACCAATTTTTATGTTTGGATTAGAATATATCTTATACGCCAACTGTACTGCTTATAAATGCACCTCTATGTTGTACGGCGAATTAGCACGAAGTCAACGTCAACTGAGTTTGTAGCTATCTTAAGCGTCATTTGGTTTGCGAAAAAATGTGGATTTAACTTACTTTGCGTTAAGTTATTTAAAAGTTACAAAAAATTTTAAAAAGTGTTTATATAATGTTAAGTAATGCATGTATATTTTTCTAAAAACATTAGCGAATTGATATTCACCACATCTCGAACTATATTAAAATAAACCGCATAGGCAGTACAAAAGAAAGAGAGTGATAATATTGAGTGTTCAAACCACAAGACCGACCAAAGCTGCGAGTGAAAAAAATTGGTCAAATCAAATTAAAGTGCTAACTCGACTTTGATAGTCGAACTTTTTAAATTTTTTTTCTTTCCCAGTTAAATTAAAACCGCTAAAATTGTGGAAAAACAGGAGAAAACTCCCAAGCGGAAGAAGAAGGCTGCAGCCAGTAAAATGTCTGCAGTTTATTCGCCGCAACAACCGCAGCAGTCTGCGCCCCCGGGTGCTGTGTTGCAACCGCCGCAGCCGTCTACGCCGACGTCTATGCAACAGCAACAACAGCAGCAGCAACCACCGGGTGTCGGGCCCGGCGTGGGAGGAGTTGGCATGGGCGGGCCAACAGGAGTGCCAATGGGAGCAGGTGGTCCAATGCAACGTGGGCCTCCGATGGTTGGTAGCGGCGGCGGACCAGTCGGCCCACCATCTTCCGTTGGCGGTGGCGGTATGATGGGTGGAGTAGCACCTCCACCCTCAGGTCAACGTGGTGGTATGCCACCTTCACCCAGTCCAGCACAAATACAAAAAATACTTGATGACAATTGTGGTCTTATACAAACAATACAAGATTTTCAAACGATGGGCAAAGCGCAGGAGTGTATGACTTACCACATGGCCCTACATAGAAATCTCGTCTACTTAGCACAATTAGCTGATCCAACAATGAATATAGCGCAAATATTGCCGGTGAAGATTTAGAATGAAATTTATAAAATTTAAAATACAAATAATAATGCACATTTGGCTTTTTTTAGCATCCACATGTTCTTCAACAGCAAGCAGCTCAGCAGCAAGGTCCACACGGTATGATGGGCGTGCCCCAACCGCCACAACAAGGTGGTCCACCATCGGTCGCAAATCAACAACAAATTAGTGGAATGCCACCAATGTCTCATGCGGATGGCAATGTTCAAACTCAAACAGGAGCTCAAATGACCTACGGCGGTCAGGCACCGCAATCGCATCCAGGAATGGCACCGAATTCCCAACAAGCCCAACAAGGTCCCCCACAACAAGGAATGAATTCGCAGCAAACTGGACAGCAGCAGACACAACAGCAAGGTGTTGCCTATAGAGGAAATGCAACACCGCAAACAGCAAACCAACAACAGCCAGGTGCGCCAAATTCTGGTTCGAGTAAGTTAAAAGGATCAAAAAAATATATAAAAACTGGTATTAAATGGCGAATATTTTAGGTCAACAACGACCAAATGTTCAATCTGGACAGCCGGGTCAAGGACCGCAACAGCAGCAGCAGTCTCCTTCCCAACAACAACAACAGCAACAAGGTCCTCCACCTCAAGCGCAGTATCGTGGTGGCTACCAACAACAACAACACAGTCACTACCCTGGCTATCCACCACAAAGTCAACCATCATACCAACCACAGACCGGTTACCCTTACGGACCGCCCACTCAAGGCTACGGCCCACCACCGCCTAATGCCCAAGGAGGTTATCATCATACCGGTATGCCGCCAACGTCATCGACAGCAGGCGGTCCTCCGGGACAACATGCTTACGCTAACGCAAGCAGCCAGCAAGGCCCACCCGGCGCATATCCTCCACCACCTCCGAATCAACAAGTTCCGCCGGGTCAACAGCCGCCACCTTCTCAAATGTATGGTCCACCCTCCAGTGGACAAGGTCCACCACCACCAAACCAATACGGGCCACCACAAGCTGGCAACAATGCACCCCCACCAATGGCATACGGTGGTTATGGTGGTCCTCCGCCAAGCGGGTATGGTCAGGCATCGAATGCATTGCCCGGTGGTTATGGGCCGCCTCCACAAAATCCAGCACAATCACCCTATCCCCCACAGTCACCATACCAACAAAGTGGTACGCCAGGAGGATATCCGGGGCAGACGCCGCAGCAGCCACAAACATCGCAAGGCACAAGCGGTGGTTATAGTTCCTCGCCAAGTCCAGGTCAAACGCCACCGCCACCTTCAAATCAACAAGCGCCAAACACGGCTAATCCGAATGGACCTAATGCCCCGCCAGTAAGTGGGCAATCCACTTCCCCCTCTACTTCGTCAGGGAACATTGGTGTAAATAGTGGTCCGCCAAATCAGCAAACACCACCTACTCAACAACAACAGCAGCAGCAGCAACAACAGCAACAACAATACGGTAACCAACAGCCACCAGTTTCAAGTGGACCGCCACAACCACTCGGCTCTACTCCACAGCAACAACAGTCTGTTTATTCATCGGCCGGTGCGCCTGCAGGAGGTCCATCACCATATGGAACGCCAACACAACAGCAGCAACCGCCAGGACCAAATGGACCACCTACGGGGCCACCAAATACTACAGCGCCGCCAAATGGTACGCCACCAATGCCCAATCAACAATATCAACCACCACCAACAGGTCAGCCATACGGTGCGCCGCCACCACAAGCCTATGGCCCACCACCACCCGGTGGTGGATATCCAGGTCATGGCTATCATCAACCACAAGGCGGATATGGAGCTATCCCACAAGGACAATATCCACCTTCTCAAGGTTATCAGGGATATAGACCAACGGGTGGACAAATGCCACCGCCAGGCGCACCACAAGGACCGCCAGCAAACGCGTATTCATATTACGGTAACCAACCGCCACAATAAGTGAAAGCACTGCACAGGGGTGAAGGAAAGTAATTGCGAAATTTATAAACTAACAAACATATTATTTATATGCATATAGTCATATAGGGAAGTATTAATTTATATATATATTCCCATTGATAATGAATTGATAAAAGGAAACTAAAAAAGGCAAATTCAATAGATTATATACTCAATCTCAAAACAACGTCGAATCGCGTTTAAAGCATTTCAAATTGTTGAAAACAGCGTGTTCTGTATAGCCAAAATGATAAGAAAATAAAGCATCCAAGATATTGTGCTAATTGGTTTATGGATTCAAAATTTAATAAAATGGTTATTTTGTAAAATTTTATAAAATATGGTCAAATCACTCAGCCAGTATCTCCATTAATAGTTTGACCAATGAAAATAAGCTTAAACTCTTCATTATGCAATACTTAATAAAATTCATAAAAATTACATATGAATTGGGCTCCATTACAAGCGAGTTAAATTTTCGACATTTGGTTGATGGATATTGACTATCCTAAGATGTAGTGAAGATATCAAGCGTTTCGAAATTAAAATTAGATACATTAAATAGTTCTTGAAAATTACGCGATTGAATATGTATTAAAGAAAAAAAACTAAAAATAAAAAAACAAGCAGCGCGATTTCGATAGGCGAAAAATCATATGGGAAAATTTAGAAATCTGATTAAAAGTTGTTTCCACACAATATTAAGCATAAAGATATTTAAAAAAAAAAAAAGCGTAGGTCCAAGTAATGAAAAATATATGCATATACATTAAATATTGTTTATAAAGCTACGTATCCTAATCAAATAATATACGAATACGCATTCCCATTATACTTATTACGTAAAACATATTGAACGGAATGTCGGGTATTTGATCCGCATACATACATATAACATATAACAAATATTGAGATGGTTGATAAATATGCAACATTAGACTTAATCGATAATCTATAATAGTATATTAGTTTACGTTTGATTGACAAGCCGAAAGGCGAATTAATTTTTTTTTATTCATGTTTAATACCGCTACTATCCTAATAAATATGTCTATGTGTATGCGTCACATTTATACAAAATCTTTTTTCTTTTTGATTTTATTATAAAAAGTAAGTAGAATAACCAAAAATATTTTGTGAGAATCGACTTTAAATATCACACACACACACACACAGCTGCAACATCCAATACTCTATCTTCTAAATCCCTAACAAACAAAACCACCTTATCAATTGTAATGATTATTTTGGTGAATCAAGCGTTTTCAAATTTTATTTTATATAAATTAATATTCAAAAAAAAAAAGTCCATGTTTTCCGCTATAATACTATAAGCACACATATGTATATGCATTTATAAATCGTTTCACTCAATTTTTTCGTATGCTGATATCAGCAGCCGCTTGTCCAAACAGCAATTTCTCATGTTGCTCTACCTCCTTGGTGCTGTTACCGGCATTATTTTGTTTTCGTCTAAACAATTTTTGCAATACTTTGCCTTTCAGCGATTGTGGTTGTCCATCCTTTTGTTCGATAACAATACGTTTAGTCGCCACGCTGTGTATGGGTCCAAAAGCTAAAGCTACCACGGTGCAGGCTAAGCAAATAACGTTGTAGGGCATACTGAAATCGGGTGTCGGCAGTGATAAAATTAATGATTCCGTACGGATTTCTAAGAAATACGAAGAACGTGTTGCATTGAAGGAATCAACAAAAAGATGTTTATCAATAGGAATCGCAGTGTAATTGCGACCTATTGGCAGTTGTGTTGTTATTATTGCGGAGCCTAGGTAGTGACCATGATTTGCATCGGGTGGGTATTCCAGCCATTTCAGGAATATGTAATCGAAATCGAATGATATTTGCACTGTACTCATTGCGGGAATTTCGAAGAGCAATTCTAAATGATAAGGGCGTACTCTTTGCACGCCTGGTATGTAATGCATAACTCGTGGTTGTATTTGGTATTCCACACCATTACTCGGTTGTACAATTAATTTAAGTGTATGCATATATGATGGAACAAACCATGGTATATTTTCTTGGAATACAATTGGTAAAGCGTGGTAATGTTTATTTGTAATTTGCGTCACAATTTGACCTCGCTCTTGCCCATGTCCCAATATGTAGCGATGTGCATATAATGGTGGTGGTGGGGTCAATAATATGCTTGGTTTGTTGTTTTTACTTTTAATCCAAGCTATATTGAATAGTTTATCACCATCTAGTCGCTGAATATCATATACTCCGAAAGTTGATGTACTGCCGCCACGCTTCGATGTTGTGTTATACATTGGCAATGGAGTTAAATCATAAGATTGATCATCTAAGTTAACATAGATTTTACTGCTTTTTGCCAATGCGCAATGTCCATTTAAACCTTGACCAAATAGACGTCGCAGTGAAAAATCGCCATTAGCACCCAGTAACTTTGGATCATAAACCATATTGGCGGTTTCGGTGAACTCCAATATGCAATTGGTATTGTGTGACTCACAAATTGTACGCATTTTCATACCCAAAGAATGGTAGTTTGTATTGTGTACATAACCAGAGTTTAATAAAGAAGCGAAACTTTGCTTACTATTACATGGTAATAATTTTTTCCAAGGTGTTAAATTTTCAGTACACACGATTTCTCGTGGTAATGTGGCATATCGTACAAATTGTGGCACATTCACTTTACTACCAGTTGCAAATGTTGGTCGAAAACTATATTTCGGCTCCACACTATTTGTTTTATCAATGAAATTAAGAGAGGCGCACAAAATACCAGAAAATGTACTGGCTAGCTTTGTCCATTGATCGTCAACGTCAGCGGAGGTTAAGTTTTCTGCTGCAAACCATGCCCTTACCTCTGCGCCAGGTGCAGAATCCACTACAGGATAACCAAAGGTTTCATACCGCCAAAGACCTTGGGTCAAGCCAATATGTAATTCCTTAACGTCATATAAAAGCAATGTTTCGGCAATAGGTCGGGGAATGAGTTGAGTATTGTGTACTGAAAAAATAATAATTGTATTTTAAATGAAGGGTAATTGTTATCATTTCAGTATATGAAAAATATTTACAATTTTCTCTGTCTCCATAGTGCCAACGGGTCGTAAACTGGAAAAAGGTGTTTACATGTCCACTTGACGTTGGACGTATGTACAGTTCCTCATGAAATTCACTAAATTCTTTTACAGCGCCAATAGGTGAAACAAGCAAAGCGATGAAGCAAATGATTTTTATTTTCAACTCCATTTTCTCCAACTTGCAAATGCAAATTAGAAATAAGTAATAAAAGTAAATATTCCTCCAAACCCAAACAATTTTTCAATTTTACAATTGCCGGCTGATCAATATTCGAATCTCGAAATTCTGTTCGAAAACGCGTTACCATAGATAAAAATTTGTGTAATAAAAAAAAACACTTTCATAAAAATTAAAATGTCAATCGCAGATAGGACTTTGCTCCACGTTGCGTGACAGATTGATTTTGACGGCTAGAGTGTTACGCGACACAAAAAGTGAAATTCGCCTTCATGAACCAAGAAAAAGCTACGGAATATCACAAATATTATATATTAAAGTGGTTGATGCATAATGCCTTAAGTAAACTATAAAACAAATTTTACTAGCAATTTCTATACGATAAGTGGTAAATGTTGGAGAATAGTATTTTTCAAATTTTCGAGATAACCAACAAAAACAAAAGTTACAAAATATTTATTTAGAGTTTTGAAATATGGCACTTTTGCGTCGCGTTGCGTGATAGAATAGCTTTGACGACATACAAATCTATGGAGTTCCCTTCATGAGCAACGTTGTTGCTACAAACACACACGATTCTTGGCAGCACTACTCACAAATAATCCAGTTTTGTTTATCTTTTTCTCCCGATTGCATACAAATTAAAAGTTCAACGTATTATCAGTTTCATTTTATGTCATTTTCGAGTGATATAGTACTCAGTAAAGCGTGAAATTTTGGCAATGAATATATTTTGATTAAATTGCGAGAACTGTAGAATTGAAATCACCATTTCCTGCCGTTTCATTATTAGAATATAGAAGTCCCTGAATTGCTCGTTCTCAGATGAGTAAACCCTCATCTCCTATTGCATCAAACTTCATTGTGAAGACTACCTAATTCCTAGGTCATTTTTAATTGTTAGAATTCTGTTAAAACTTACTTAGAAAATTACCTTTAAATGCTTCCGGTAAATAAAACAATTTCGATTTTAATTTATTTTCTTTTAAAATATTTTTTATTAAAGGACAAATCAAATTATAATAAAAATTGATAGATTTTGAGGATAAGTCATACTTACATACACTCAAATATCATTTAAGGCGAAATGCTATTGGTTTTATAATTATAATGCTTAAAAATTCTGAGAATATGTGGAAATATAATACATATACATACGTCAAATCAATATCCACATTGCAATGACTTTTGTCCAATTGGAGTACGTCTAGTAAAATCTTACTATCATTTCTGATTTTCCGAACCCCCCTGCAATGTTTAATTTTTATATATTCAACTACACCTTGTACAATTTCAAAGCATATTTGTTATATGCCGGGCGTAAAAGCATGCAAGCAATGTCCTTTCATAGTTCAACAGAAAAAGTTCTTTGAGCTTGCCATATCATTCATTCATTTTTATTAGCATTGTGTTGCAGATTCTTATTTTTTCTTTCAAATAGGCAACTCCGTTTGTTTGAACGACAGCTGTAAGCTTCTGTTGCGCTCTTTTCATTCGGTATGATGCAGCACCTAAAAATTAAATTAAAAAAACAATGAATTTTTAGTAATCAATACTGCTAACCACTTTTAATAATTTTATTTTAGCTGACTCGGGAATGGGTTTTCAATCCTTATCTTTCTGTGAGAAACTTGGGATATACAGATTTAATTCTATCATATTCCTATAGGCCATTGAACTTTTTTTTTTAACCATTGTCAAATATATACATTTTTATTATATACATTATGTTGACATTCATGACAGTTAGAAAACCAAAATTGCCAGTCTAAAAATGCATGTGTGAAAATACTATTTTGCACGTGATGATATTAGAGTCACACTTTCAAATAAGTATATCCATACTTTTCGACTTTTGTTCCTTTCAGCTGTTAGGTAGCTGTCAAATTTAGCTTTCCATGCTGCGTTCAATAAATATGCAGCTTGCATGAAACTATTGGTAGCAGAGTTGCAATTTTTAGCACGAGAACCTTATTCATTGTGCTATATTAACACACATAAAAATTAGTTTTATTTATAATAAAGTGTGTATACAGCGTTCGGTCTATACTTCTACATTTCTTCCACTCACTTGCAAATATTTGATTTTTGTATTTTTTAATTAAAATTGAAGGTAAAAAATTTAATATAGCACTATATACACTTTTTTTTCTTCCTCCATTATGTTTCAGTGCTGCCGATTTGATCAGCTGTCAACAATGACAGCTAGCATTGGACGTTCGCCCCATTTTTCTGCTACGCTACGCGACAGAATTGAAACGAACGACAGACCGAATATGAATCGCCAGCCTGGTTAGCTGAGTTGTAGCATAGTACAAAATGGCCACAACACTCCGGCGATGGCTGTGTCGTTCGTCGTTCGTTGCTCGTTGTGTGTCGTACGTGCGCTCGCTCGCTCTTCGCTCTAATTAATATTTAACAATATATTTTAATTAACTGAAAAAGAGACTTTAACTCTTAATAAATAAATAAATAAAAAAAAAATAAAGAAAGTGTTAAAAACACGTTCATTTTTAAACGCCAGCTGATATTAATATCAATATAAAAACAACACAGCAGCAAATGCAAAATCCGAGTTACATAGATATTTTTATGTAAATACATTTCGCTTTCATTTTATAATTTTTATGCGTTTCCAACGAGAATTCGATTTTCAGATTTTGATCACCAGAGTTAAAACACTGCACCAAACTACGGAAAAAGGACGGTTTCACCGTTTTTCCTAATTACGTATAAAATATATGAATACACATATATGTATACCAATATGACTAATCAAAGTGAGATTTAGTTCCACATTTTATACCTATGTATATATTTAAATAATTAAAACACCAATATATACAGAATTATTCGCTTATATTGCACTAAATTTGGATATTGTGAGTTTTTTAAATTTATATAAATCGCAATTAGGAACGTTTAAAATAATATTTAAGACACAGCACAAGTCACAAAAAATTAAGAAAATTCACGGAAGACGGCGACGACAAGAAATTTTCTACTCGTAAGACGGAAGGTCTACGCAGTGAAACGACGACGGTTTCTCGTGCTCGTCGCTGAGCCAAAAATCAACTGTGTTCCTCAAGTCGCGTTCGAATTGTTCGCTCCGCGAGACGCGGCGCGGCAACGAACTGCGCTCAGTGTCAAGCGGTAACCGCAACAACGGCAGGCAAAAGCCACGGCAACAAATCAAAATTTAAAAGATTCAATAACGCGACACTGCAAACGAGACTAGAGCCGAAGCGTTTCGGAGAGTAAAAAATTTTCTCCAGAAACAAAATTGAGATAGTGCGCGGGAGAGAAAAGTAAATGTGCGCGTGTATAAGTTCATGTGCGGAAAGTTAATACTTTGTAAATGAAGAAGCACCACGTTCGTTGTTGACGCTGATACAGCGACGTCGGGTTTAACTAATATTTTATTTTCCACATATATACATATATATATTTATATATACATATGTATATATATTAAATGTTGTTGTTTAAAACTAAAGTACGGTTATTTGTTATCGTTTAGCACGGTGTTGTTTAAATTAATAACAATGAAATTTCCACAATCTTGGCTATTAAAAAATCAATAAAGAAAAAGGTGTGTACTGTTCGAGTCTGGCATTTAAATCATCGAAAAGCCCCACACCCAGCATTCATTACAAGCAGAACAACAACCACAGGGAAAGCTGAAAGCGATGACCAAAAAAATCTATGCAACTTTATCATAATTTGTTAAATAAAAGATATAAAAAGAGGTGAAGTGAATCTCATTTTTACAAATTAAATATTTAGAATCATTATAAACTATTTTTTTTTTTAAATAAATTGTTATATACATTTATATATACATACATACACATGTAAATTAAGCATATGCGTAGTTTTGATTTGAATTATTTATTGTCTTTGTATAATATAGTCCATAAGTTAAGTTGATTGCTCGATGATTCATTGCAGAAAATCGGAAAAGTTCCTGAATAAAAATTCTTTGTTGCATTTTGCTTTTCAAGGCAAAAAATAGCAGTAAAAATAAAGTCATTTGAATTCTTTTATTTAATACATACATATACATCACAACAGGTTACAAAATCCATTTGAAAAGGAACGGAAATGGGGTAAAGAGTTTTTTTTTATCATTTTTATGATATTCAGCGAAAATAAATACGAAAATAAATTAATTGGGAGATGCACAAAAAAGGAAGAAATGGTTTGCATTTCGTCGTTTCGTACGAAACACATTCGCAGACGAAATGAAAATGAAATTGTAATTTTTGTCGCTTTTTGTGCTCAACACAGCCGGAATACGAATGACCAAAGAGCAATTTTCAAATATTCTATTAGTGATTTTGAAATATATTTGAAGTGTATATACATATACGTACGTACGTACCAAGTAATATGTGTGTGTGTGTAAATTTAACGACTTTGCTTTGCATTTGTAGTCTCTAGTTACTCTCCCTGCGCAAGTAGTTTGTAGCTTATCGGATGATTTGTTGCTTTGTCGCTTTCACTAACTGTTTATTGGCATGCATACTTTTGAGAAAATGAGTTTCAACGCAAGAGAGCATTTGTAAAAGCACAAATATATATGTGCATATGTATATGAATGAATATAAGAAAAATTAGTACGCTGATGGATTTTTCACGAAAAAATGTGAGAGTATTTTATGGTTTAGGTTATGACCATTGATTTCGTCATTTTGATACTATTTGGACAATGAAAAACGGTATTGAAAAATTTGTTATAAAGATGAAAGTTCACAAGCAAAAGTAGATTTTTCCCTTTTTTTATTTTCTACAAGTCTTAAATAGCCTACATTAAACAATACAACTTCATGCTTCGTACAAAAAGTCAAACAAAGACTTGTTTAGTCATAAAGTGGTTGACTTGCCTCATCTTATCAGCGATGATATTATATATCTTAATATATTATTTATCTGTCAAATTCATAATTACATATGATAATTTGATGTTAGAACTTTTGTGTATTGACACTGATTGCTGTTATCGCAGGACGCATCACCCCCTTTTTTTTCTAAAATTAACTGCAGACATACATACATACATATGCACATATTCTACGTCCCATATTTGTAAATGTGAACTCGTCTTCGTTCATACTCTTGCCCACATTGTGCCGTAAATGCACAAAGGCCGAAACAAAGATGAACACAAAAAAAAAGAAGTATGTAAATAAAAATGTATTTTTCGAATAACAGGCGGAACATCCGCACACATCCACCATAATGAATACAACGAAATAATGAAATCGGCGCGACGCGATTTGACGCGACGGTAGTTGCTGCCAACGGTGGAGGGCGAAAAGGTAGAAGAAGAATTTTTACGACAACCACACCGTTTTCGTTTTACCAATAAGCGCAATATATCCCCTCCAACGATTTTGGCGCTCTGTTCGCAGCGTGTACACACGCCGCAGACGACTGAACGTATCGTCTAAATAGAAACTCAGCCATGAGTATGAATCCGAGGAACTAGTAAATGTTTCGGGTCGACAACGAACTTGTGCTTACCATAGCATTTATTTCAGATTAATCATTTCGTTTAGAAAGCGACATGCGAATCGACGAGAGCAATATTTAGATATATTTATAAAGAGACAGAGTGTGCAAGAGAGAGAGAGAGACAGAGAGAGTGAGAGCAAACAAATGTATTGATGAGAGTACAGGAAATTTGTATGAGAATTAGATATGTATACTTAATTGTGTATGTACGTATATATATTGTATATAACATAATTAAGGGAATAACACATTTACCTTCATACATAAATGTATATACATATATTTTTATGCATATGACCAACTGAAAAACTCGTGCAACGCTAATTTTTTCCTTATTTGCTACACACATATGTATGTACGTACATAAGCATTTCTAGATCTTACTTTATATATAAAAATTCTTTAAAACAAAGATCAGTTTTAAAATTCCTTACAAAATATGGTATATATTATCCTTAAAGGAAAACTTATACACATACATATATATTTACATATGTATATGGTTAGATCTATGTCAGAATATGTTAAAAAAAAAACAAAACTTTTCACTGATTCAATTTTTCTCTTCTCTTTTTTCTTAATTCAAATTATATTTTAATTTAAAGAGCGCAACACATTCACATACATACATACATACATGCACATAGCTTAGTGATGTAATTATCAACAAAAGGAAGTGGCTCACATTTCAATTATTTGTGTATGTATGAATATATATGTATTTACATACAGCATACAGTATGGATTTAGATACATACATATGTATGTAGGTATAAGCCCGTGAATATTGTATATTAAAATCTAATGAAGATAAAAAATAACATTAAAAACCTGCATAAATTCAGTGGCAATTAATTTAAATAGCGCACTGGTCGTTAGATATGATTATGCATGATATGCATATGTTTGTATGTATGCATATAGTATATGAACGTAAGTACGTGTGAACATACGAGTGTATGCATGTAGTACATACATACGTGCACAATTACTCCCAAAAGCGATCACGCTAAGGCTTTTAAACTAAAATTTTTTGCATAGAGTAAAAAATATTTAGAAGCTTTTAGATTTTATAATTTAATTTTTATTCTTAAATATATATAACAATAATTTTAAAAAAATATACAATTTGCCCTGCAAAACTTTTACATAAAAAATAAGAAACATAAATACAAAAGTAATGTACATACATACATATGATTAATTTTATGATATCATAACAAAAAAAATTATTACTTTGTGCAACCACCACTGGCAACAGCAATAACAGCCTTTTTCCTGTGCATGCAATTTTTCAAGGGTTTCGTACTGTTCTGATACAATGGAATGCCACGACAGGACCGCTTTAGGCTATAACTCTGTTGGGGTACCGGTTTCTTCAGCTATCGATTTTTTTAATATATCCCATTTCTTTCAGCTTCTGTTAGAACCTACGCCTACCTACACACCTCCAATCTTCACAGTATTCCTGACACGATGTCTTTGCTATTTCAAACCTTTATTTCTCCAAACCTCCTATCGACAGTCCGACTCAAGGTTATTTTCGTCCTTTATTAAAGGAAAACCACATTTGCACATACATACATATTTAATATCCATTTCTCGCTTGTCAAAAACTATTGTGGGCCCAAAGCAAACAAATTTCAGCGACTTTTCCATTTAACAGATCTGAAATCGTTGACTTTGGAATGCCATAAGTGCTTGCTGCATTTCGAATCGTCTAGTTACTGACACATCTACCCCTTATGTACATATTCATATGCGCATACAGATGCGTGCAACTAATTAGCAACGCTGGTAGGAAAAATCCAAATTGGTTGACGACTTCATACTCAAAAATAGGTCGTACAACTAATTAACAACGTTGGCTACTGTAATTTTTTTTTGCAAAAAAAAGCTTTCATTTCACTTTTTAAATTAATATTTGGTTGCGAACCCTTCACTGTCAATTACTGCTCGACATCTACGACGCATTGACTCAATTAAATTTTAGCAAATGTCTTTTGGAATACGATTATATGGTTGTGTAACTTTTTCGTATAATTCTTGGAAATTTCCAACTTTATGGGATAAAGCTCTTTTCTTCAAATGTGTCCATAGATTCTCGATTGGGTTCAAATCTAGACTGCATGAAGGCCAGTCCTATAGAGTCATCATATTATCCTTAAACCACGATGTTTCGGATCGTTAACCTGCTGATAAATCCACGTCACGGGCATATTGTCATCGGCATATGATAATATTATGTTTTCCATTATAAAATGGTTCATCCGCATACAATTTGCAAATAGACACAACACCTCAACGTAACATGGCACCTTAAATAATTATACAGCCGACATCATGTTTTAAAGTTGGCCTGGTGTACCTTGGGTCCAAATCTTTGCATAGCGGCCTGCAGACATAAGTTTTCCCATCTGAAGAAACCCTATTCATCTTAGTTTTGTCAGAAAACAGTACTCTTTTCCACTTGTTGGCTGTATTGCTGTGCAAACTCTAAACGTCCTCTACGATTACGTTCGCAGAGCAATGGCTTTTTCCTTGAAACTCTTCCAAAGAGGCCAGCCTCGCGTAATCACCTTTTTACGGTATCTACAGTCGGTGCATTAGTATTAGCGATCCTTTTTTGACTCGCGGGTAATCAACGCGTCGACGTTTTACGACCTCTCTTCTTTCTTGAAACTTGAAAAAAAAAAAAATATAAAAAAAATAAAAAAAAGTTGAATGTAGAAAAATAACGGAATTTCTTCAAAATTGTTTCACAGCTAAATCTGGCCATACTTTCATAGAAGTGAATTTTAAATAAAATTGCATTTTTAGATTTTAGTTTTTTTTAATGAAAAAAGTCATATAATCTATAGGGAGAAGTCGTTGTTAATTATTTGCACGCAACTGTATATGTACTTATGTATGAATACGAATACGCATTTCCATATCATCAATATATTTACATAAGTATATACATATGTTATTAGATGTGTATGTACATATATGATATACTATTTACTTAGCAGCACATTCTCAATCGAATTTTTATCACGTGGACCGCATAGACACGTGTCGACAATAGCTTGAGGGTAAAGTCATTTCAATCAGATTTAGTTAAGTCATTCTGATTGCAATGGAAATGATTTCAATATATATTTTTATACATATGTCGTTTTCATTCCATTTTTTTATATAATTTTAACTAATATATGTATGTATGTATGTACATGCAAGCAACAGATTA